AAATATATATCAAAAAGATATTTCATATATATTAATGAAATCTTTTAGAGGAATAGAATAGCTGGGAATAAAACATATAAAAGAATAATAAATATATTCTTATTTATTACACATTTATTATGAAATTCATATTTTTCAATACAATTAATTTTTTTATAAATCATTGCGTGCCTTCCCTTTTGTTTCGCATTTTTCTCTTTTTAAACAAATTTATACCTTTTAAACTTTTGGTATTATAATCACCTGACTTCATCTGTTTATGTACATATTTCCACTAAATACATTTAAAAGAAATAAAAAACCAAAATATTGGATCGGTAATAAAATAAGTTAGGCGTTAAGTTGTACAGTTTATGAAATAATATAACTAATAATCGAAAATTTCGGAAAAAAGACATTAGGCTTTTTGTATTAAATGAAAAAAAAAAACCATTCAGACTGTTATACGAAAGGTAAATTAATGTTTGAGAAAAGTGAATAAATCATATTTTTAAATTTCTAAAGGACAGAAAAAGCTTGTTCTTTCAAAAGAAAATATCGATCTACTAACTATAAATAAACTTTAATGCGAAATCAAATTTTGTCATATTCCGCTTAAACGTAATTAAATATACACATTTATTAATATATGTTTGCCTGTTTCTATCCATATTTCAATTTGATTTATTTTGGTAGTGTGATATGTCTGTGTAATCCATTATATCATTTAACTATAATAATTTAAAAAAAAAGAAAAATCCGAAATTGTAATTGCTTTTGCCTTCACATATACATACGTATGCAAAGATATGCCTATTTAATTATCGCCAAGAAAATTGTCAACTCGAGTACTTACGGATATCAGTGAATTATAAGTGTTCCATTTATGGATTATAGTGGCTCTATTGCATGCCTCCTTTTAACAAATTAAATTCCAACTTCACAATTAAATTTGTCAAATGAATGTAAAGAAGTAAACTTTTCACGATTCGTACATGAAATACTAAATTTTTACAAGTAAATTCTAATTTATCTAATTATAAAGTATGACTAGAATACAAATAAATCGCATTAGAATAAGTATATATAGAATAATATTACAATGTATACTGGTATGATATCTGCATACCGTACCATGGGCACATGCATACTGTAGTAAATACACATTAATGTCGCATACCTACCGAAGCATAAGAATTTTACTCATTACAATACTAAGTTACACACTTTCCATCATTTCTTTATACTGTTATTTTTAAAATTTTATCTTTCTTTATCGTATAAGTCAAAATATGCCATGATAATTATATGGTATGATACGGTAAAATATTACAGTAAGATAAAAAACTCATTCATTTCTATGAGAAAATATCATGATACCATTTAATATAAAGATTGTGGCTTTTTTAATTCATATATAAAAATTTGATGACAGGTGCATTTTCTACTTTCACTTCGTTTTCCATCTTTCAAGAGTGTTATTGCTGTGGTTGTAAATTTTAAGGATTTGTTTGAAATAATTTTTATTTTAAAGAATTCTTTTAAGATTTATTTATAGCGGCTATGGATTTTTTTCCTCGGAAATCTGACAAATTTAAATGCTTCGCATACGATGTAATAAGTGAAATTAGTTGAGTCGAAATTTGATTAAGCAAAACAAACCAGCAGAATTTCATTTTTTTTAAAAAAGTTTGAATTAATTTGATAAAGGCCGGTCACATATTTTTTTGCAGCAATGATTGTTTTACGATTAAAAATAATCTAACATTAAAAATCTTATTTAGATGAACTTTTTTTTGGTTTCTGAAAAGGTATCATATAAACAAAAAAAATGGAAGTAATGTGACAGTTTTTGCGGAAATTTATCCATAAATTGTGGTGAAATTGTGCTTAACAGGAAATGCAAAATCCGGTTTTGTTAAGTATAAATCTTTTCTCAAGGATAAATGATAATGTGTTATGATTAAAAAAGAAGCAAGCTTAATTGCATGTGGTCAAGCGCTTAATAAATGCTAATGAAAATCATTTTATTTCCTTTCCGCCTTTATTGATATGCTTCATTTCATCTTATAAATGTATAATTGAGATCATAAATGCGGAAAAAATACCGTCCAACAGCAAATATTTCACAATAATCTAAACTGTTTCTATCATTGATATTCAATTCATACACAACAATAATCGTTTTTCCTGAAAAAGAAACCTGAAAAAATCAGAAAATTACTTACTTGCTGGATCGGGATCAATAGATAAAACCGGTGAATATGGACCAATACCCTTCATTGTTGCTGCTGCAACCTTAAAAGTATAAGTTTTTGGCATCGATGCATCATAAGTTATGGAGCGACCGCTTGTAACCTGAAATTAATAATAATAACAACAGTAATAATAATAAAAAAACAAATGAATCATAAAAGTTATTTTTTATACGAAAGATATTGATATAATTGGCATGGGAATGAAAATTATGAGCTTATAGATAAAATACAAGAAGTTATTAAATGAAAGAAAACATAATTGAAAATTCCGGAAAACTGAGTCATCCATTAAAGCTTAAATTTGATTTTTGATTAAAACTCAATAAAATACTAAAATATTTTTAATTCTTCAATTCATAAAAAAGAGGAAAGGAAAAATTGCAGAATTGCTACGCAATGTAATGGTTAATTAAGATTAACTATTTCTAATTTCTCATTATCTTTCTTTTCTAAAATTTTCGTTTATCAGATTTGATTTTCTTCTAATATCCATTTCTTTTCTACAATTTATAATATTAATTTTTTTTTCTTCCTTAAAATTAATTTTCTTACTGAAATCCATAGAATTACTGAATGATAAATGACGTAATAATTCTTGGAAAACATTAAAGACATTAAATTATTCTACTAAAAATTTTGAAAAAACATTTTGTGATAAGAAAAAAACAAACATTTCGAATAATTTTTTCTTCACCAGGTTGCAACGGAGTTAAAATAGCTTGATAATATGTAATATTGCCATTTCGTTGATCGATTACTGGTGGATCCCACGATACTATCATCTGGAACAAATTGATTTACTGAATTGCTAAAATAATAAGCAAAATAAAATAAAAATCATAATCATTGTAAGTTTCATGTTAAATTGTCATTTAAAAAACGAATACTTTTTAATCGTATAAATTGAGTGAAAATGTAATAATTGCACACTAATGTATGCATTTTTCAAAAAATAAAAATAATTGAGGTAGTTTTAGTAGTATCGTAATAATCTTTGTAAAATTTTGATTTTAAAACTTCAGTTTTGCAGCTAATGGATGAATTTATTTTAATAGTAGCTATTCTGAGCTATTATTAGAATAAGTTCGTCAGAAACGAACTTGTCAATACAT